TGGCAGACTTGCTGACTAAGGTTCTGGGTCGGTTGCCCTTTGAAGAGTTGCTCAGGAAACTAGGTCTCTGCGAAGTCCCTGACAACTGAGGTGTTGGGCTCAATGCCCTGCCAAGTTTTGCTAAGGAAGTTAGGCGTCGCTAAGGCTACTGAGGTGCGATTGCCAAATCCACGTCAAACAAACAGTTAAGCCAGCGCGTCGCGCGGTTAGCTACAGGGCTCTTTACTTGACCAGCGCGTCGCGCGGTACGGAAAGAGCAGCTTAGGATGTGGAATGGCAGAGCTGAGTCTGGCAACAACGGCGGCTGCGAAACAGTGTCGTGGTCAACTGCTACTGCTGGGCAACGCTACTGGAGCATGAGTGCTTATGTAAAGTTGTACAGGCACAGGTAGCTCTTAACGCACTTTCCTGTATCATAAGATATGTTCCTCGCTGTCCCTGGCTTTCGAAGCGGACCTTCATCCCAAGAATTCTCAAGAATTGCGGGTGGTGGCGGGTCCGTGCACGCTGGGGTGAAGGTCTGCTGGTGACCTTTTCCGCTACAGCTGAGGCGCGTATCGCCAAGTTGGCATGTCGCGAGGGGGGACGAAGTATCCACCGAGTGATATGCGCTCGACGCAACATAACCAATTTGGCTCAAGAAAAAGTGGTCCCACGTCGGAACTGCGCTCAAACGTAATAGTTAATTTAATTAATGTATTTTTGGGCCCGCAATAAAGTAACTAAATTAAATTAATTCCAGCCGAACTAATGTATTTAATTAATTTAATTTATTTAATTGAATTCATTTAAATAAATAGAGGAAAATGGACCTGAGACCAACCAGGAATTAATTTATTTAATTTATTTGATTTAACTAATTTGTTTTTGGGCCCAAAATTAATTATATAAATTAGTTAAATTGATTCCAGACTGGCTCAGGTCAATTTTTCCTCTATTTATTTAAATTATTTAAACTAAATAACTTAAATAAATTATTTGAATTCATTCCAGCCGAATTAATTTAATTAATTTATTTAATTCATTTTTGGGCCCAAAATAAATTAAATAAATTAAATTAATTCCAGCCGAATTAATTTAATGAATTTATTCAATTTATTTTTGGGCCTGAGATAAATTAAATAAATTAATACAAATTAATTCCAGCCGAATTAATTTAATTAATTTATTTAATAAATTGAAATAAATAGAGGAAAATGGACCTGAGACCAACCAGGAATTAATTTATCTAATTTATTTAATTTAATTAATTTGTTTTTGGCCCCGGAAAAGATTAAATAAATTAATTAAATTGATTCCAGACAGGCTCATAACTTAAATGAATTAAATAAATTAATTAAATCAATTCCAGCCGAATTAATTTAATTAATTTATTTAGTTTATTTTTGGGCCCGAAATAATTTAAATAAATTACTCAAATTAATTCCAGCCGAATTGATTTAATTAACGTATTTAATTTACTTAATTTAAATAAATAGATGAAAATGGACCTGAGACCAACCAGGAATTGATTTCTTTAATTTATTTAATTTACATATTTTTTTTGGGCCTAAAATAAATTAGATGAATTAATCAAATTATTTCCAGACTGGCTCAGGTCAAGTTTCCTCTATTTATTTAAATGAATTAAATTAAATAAAATACAATAATTAATTAAATTAATTCCAGCCGAATTAATTCAATTAATTTATTTGATTTATTTTTGGGCCCGAAATAAATTAGATAAACTAATTAAATTAATTCCAGCCGAATTGATTTAATTAATGTAGTTAATTTACTTAGTTTAAATAATTAGATGAAAATGGACCTGAGACCAACCAGGAATTAGCTTATTTAACTTATTTAATCATTAATTGTTTTTGGGCCCAAGATAAATTAAACAAATCAGGTCAATTTTCCTCAATTTATTTAAATGAATTAAATTAAACAAATTAAATACATTAATTAAACTAATTCCAGCCGAATTAATTTAATAATTAATCCAGCCGAATTAATTTAATAATTAATTATTTCATTTATTTTTGGGCCCGAAATAAATTAAATAATTTAATTACATTAATTCCAGACTGGCTCAGGTCAATTTTCCTCTATGTATTCAAATTAATTAAATTAAATAAATTAAACAAATAAATTAAATGAATTCCAGCCGAATTGATTTAATTTATTTAATTTATTTTTGGGCCCGAAATAGATTAAATAAATTGATTAAACTAATTCCCGCCGAATTAATTTATCTAATTTATTTAATTTAATTAATTTAAATAAATAGAAGAAAATGGACCTGAGGCCGGCCAGTCTGAGGCGTGGGAGGGCCTGAATTGATTTAATTAAGCTATCGAATGAATTGCGGGCCCAAAAAAATCAAACAACATGAATTAATGAATTCAGGCCCTCCCTAGGCCAGCACTCTCCTATTAATTTTAAGTAATCAAACTAATCCGATTAAACCAATGAAAATAATTCAGATTCGATTAGTTTAATTAGTTTCCGATATTAATTTCGGGCCACAATAAATTGAATATTTCCTTTGGAGTTTGATCGATCTTTGGCGCGGAGTTCATCGTCCTGTTATAAGTCTATGAGTGCTGTTTTCCAGAGGCGTTGGCTTTGACTGTCAGACACCCTCCCTTAAGGGCCACGTTTTTTCTTCCAAGAAGATAGTAAGTATGAGATCTTTCACCTTTGGCTTGCCAACATGCCATTCATTGGCCTAAATCAATTCCCGGATCCTGCCTGAGACATTAACTAGAACTCCTATTCTCCCACCAATCACTTGCGCTCCCAGTAGGGAAGTGAATGGGCTGACACGTTGTTGCTGTGAAGGTGTAATTTAGAACTCAACACCCAATGCTTGGATTCATCCTCAAGCCGAAGCCCCGAGCTTCTAACGTACCTCTCAACAAGAAATCTGGACGTCCCCGTGCCTCCTTCCTGACCCCTTTGAGTCACCAGGAGTACATGACGGCGATGAAGAGACGGAGCCTGCGTTGCGATTCAGCTTCTTGTGTAGCAGCTTCCTTGACTCAGTGCTCAACAGCCCCCGGCTTTTTGAGAAGCGCGGTTTCCAGTACTACTTGGCCCATCACAAAACAGAAATGCATTGCCTGCAAAAGCTGCTGAAGCCCCTGCTGGATGAGTTTGATGATGCCGCATGGCGCGGGAATCGAGAGGCTATTCGTTTTGTGTAACGTTTGGGTTGCGTAAAAATTGAAAACTGTTATCGTCCAAGTTGTGACTGTTGTTCTTCACGGTTCTTCTCTGCCCAGTCTTTCTTTTTGGTCCAAGAACTCACTAGCATGCGCTGGGCAGCCTTTCAGGAAAGAACCCTCCAGTGCTGCCGCCGCTGCTGCAGAGGACCCTGGAGGCTACGGAGGGCCCGCCCTGTCATCTGCAGTGCCTGGGAAGGTGGTTTCATTTTGGATTGGTACAGAAAGGCCGAAGGTTATGGGGGCCTCCACCTGGCGCCTTTTTAGAAGGCAATATTGCGTATGGGGCCTCAAGGTCTCAGCATTCTTAACATGAAACGTGTTGTTTAAGAGGGGTTTCTAAAAGGGCCGCTTGGAGGGGAAATGAGGGTATTCCTTGCTGCACAAACTGAAAGTGCCCTCCGCCTGGTCAGACTATGCTTGTCGGCGGATATTCTTACATGTGGTGGAAGTGAGAGAATGAAGGTTTCAGGATTCAGGGTCGCGGCTTAGTGGCTGGGCTGGAGCTCCGATCCAAGGCGCCCGTCCAGATGCAACAGCAGCTGAATGAGCTGGACGAGATGGAGGCGGCAGAGTAGGGTTTAGGGTTTATCTTAGTTGTTTGACACTTGGGGTGTTGAGAGCTTGGGGTGCCTTTCTCGCACATTCAACAGGTAGTCGCACGGATTAAAATCCCATTTTCAGGGCAGTTTTGGCGGATGTCGGTTAAAAGGTAAGCATCCCAAGGCATTTCCTCTCAATAAGGAGCTTCTGCTGAAAATTCCAGGGTGGGATTAATGGATCTGCCGGACATAGTTTTGGACTTGTGCTTAATTATTGAAGCCCAGTTAGGAATCCGAAGTCACAACTTGAAATAGTGCCCCCACCCATTAAGACTCGATAAAAGGGTCATATTAAGGGCTCTATATAGTTATATTATAACAATACTATCCAACCGTTAATGAAGGGGGGCAGAGCCCAACCTAAACCCTAACCCTACGGCTCTATCTGGACCCATATTAAGAATACTGTCCAACTGTTAACGAATGGGGGCAGAGCCCAACCTAAACCCTAAACCCTAAACCCCAAGGCTCTACATAGTTATATCATAACTACTACCCGACTGTACCTCCAGTAAAGCAGCAGTTTCGAGCTGACACCCATGCCTCCAGTCACAGCAACCTGTCTGAGCCCCGGCTATTTTTTCCAAATGAGCCTTAATCTAAAATTCCTTGAAGGGCAGTTATATTTAGGCTTTAGGGTCTAAAATTCCTTAAAGGGGTATATATATATAGGGGGTGTTTAGGTGACTACTATAGGGGTTATTAAGGGGGATGCCCGGAGTTTAGACTGGGCTCACATTAGTTTCTGTTTGTTTCTCCATTCTCAGGACTCAAGTATTGGTAGTTATTCAGGCCCTTTAGTGTCTAAACCTCCCTGAAACCCTAGACCCTAAACCCTAAACCGCAACATCCCTGCATTCTTTCTTTCTGGGCGAGGGCTGTTTCGTGGGATCCTGAGGCCATCGCGGCCCAGAGGAGTAGCGACATAGCGCAGATTGCCTCCTCTGTGGTGGTGGCTGGGCTGCGCTTCTTTCAGTTACTTTGAAAGGTACAATAGGGCCCTAAATAATCGGCAAACTTGTAATTGAGTTCTTGTATACTTTATGGCATGGTTTCTGGAGCCTCAAAAACACCTCAACATGGAATTGCTGAGTATCCAGGGAAGTGTACTACATGGGTAGATATGTAGGGGTCTATGGAGGATATGGTGAGAGTGTGTGTGTGTGTGTGTCTCTGTGTGTGTGTGTGTATGTGTGGACGGTTGTCAAAATTGTGGTCCCATTGGGTACCCAAAATCTCGGCAGGCGTTTCATTCTGGACCCAAAAAGGGACCACACGTTCGAAAAAACATCCTTATGTGGGGAAGCCCGTCTGGGCAAACCTTACGTGAAACAGAATGCACACGCTTCCATAGCTTGTTAGACTGCTGCCCTCTACTGGCCATGGGTGATGCGTCAGGGGTTCTCTTGACCTTTTCTAGAAGGTATCCAAAGGACAGATTTCCAAATACTGCGAATCCCAAAGTATGAACGACCTGATGAGTATCGAAATTCTTCTCCTCTGTTCAGAGCGACAGGGCCTGAAATTTTAATGCCCACCGGATGCCTGCAGGAAGGCTGCGCAAATATGTTCTCATTTTTTCACGTTAGCGCAACACGGGCCCTAACCCCAAAACCCGAGAACAAGGAGCTGAACCGGATCTTCCGCGACCTCGCCGAGCTAGTCATCGACCAGGGAACCATCCTGGACCGAATCGATGCCCGACGGGAAGACTTGGCGTGGGGTGTTGGGGCGGCTTAGGGATTCAGGGCTCAGGCTTATGCTTTTTGGGTTCGTTGTTTGGGGCTATGGGATCTAGGGATTCAATGGGTTTGGGGTTTAGTAAACTTGGTTTAGATACTGCCTTCACCCTAGAGTCCCATACCTAATTCCCTAAATAAACACCCTTTAAGGAGTTTAGACTATGGCTCATATACACCCCAAACCCTAAACCGTAGGGATATACATTACCCCCAAAAGACACTCCAACCCGAGGACTTCAACACTGAGAAGATCTACCAGCGCTCGGACGAGGCAAAAGGACAGCTTCACCAAGCAGCCCTCCAGATGCATGTGAGCTGTAGTCTAAACTCGTTAAAGGAGGTTTTAAAGGGGATTAGATAGGGTAGTATTATAGGGCTTACTAAGGTAAGGGGGATACTAGGAGTTTAGACTATAGGTCATGTTGGGGGGTTTAGGCTTTAGGGCTTAGGGTTTAGGGCTGTCAAACTTCTGGTCCCATTTCAGGTGCCCAGAAGGTTGAGGGTTTAGGGTCAGGGCAAAACGGCAAAGCTATGGTCTCACTTTATGTGCCCTAAATTGTAGGAGCGGTATCATACTAGGGACTCAAAAGGGACCATAATGTTGACAACCTACCATTTGGCTCAGGCTCATTAAAGGCCTGTTGGTAAGAAACGAGTGAAGGATTGGGGCACATTCGGCTACTGAGTGAAGGGAGGAAATTTTCCCACTTGAAGTTGTAGGGTCTGCAGGGTGCATGGTTCAGGTTGCTGTGATGTCTTCTGTCTATAGAGCCTACGTTTACGGATCAATGAGTCTCCTTTAAGGGATGTAGCGGAAGTCAAAATAGAAATTACCAACAGAAGGTGTTTGTTGTTTCTCTTTGGTGGGGTGAAAGGGGGTTCATGTGAAGAAACGCAAAGTTTGGGTACCTTTTGCGGCCTGTCGTTCACGGAGTAGTTGCTGCAGCATGAAGTCTAGTCGCCATCCCGACAGTTCGAGTCATGTTCATAGCAAATGTTGCCACCCAGACGCTCGCGCGGATTCAGTCAAGTTTTGCTTGCATGTGGGAGTTTCCACAGATGTGCGGGCCCAATGTAGATCCCAAAATCTTACGATCCTGAAAATATAGATATGTAGGGGGTCCCCTATATGATCCCCCTTTACAAGGAGTTTAGAGTTTAGACCCTAAATCCTAACCATAACCCCTAAACCCGTAGCCTAAACCCGAACACTATGCGGCTAAATATTGGAAAGCACCATTTTGTCCGGCTAAGGTGAAGCGAAAGAAGGAGAGCGACTCGAGAGCCTGGAGGCATCTTAGGGTTTAGGGTTTAGGGCTTCCCCCTACCCAAACCCCCCCCCCCTTAATAGTAAACATCCTAAACAATAAAGTGCCATTACAGAACCTGGGAAGCATTCACTATGAGGTGGTGGCGGGTTCTTTTTACTTGGAGGGAGGGGATGACTATGGTCTACTGTTAGGACGCCCCCCTTCAAGATCCTACAATCCCTACCCTTCTGTTCGGAAATATTCGCTTCAGGCACTGTCAGGCACCTGGATGCGTCTATTTCCAAAAATGGAAGCCCGTTTACATACATGCACACATACATACGTTCATACATGCATACATACATACTTACTTACATATGTGTATATATATATATGTATGCACGTAGTATGGGCCCCCTAAAAGAGGCCCACAGTTTTAGGAAACCCTGAACGCGGTTTATCCTCTGAAAAATCCTACGAGTTCTTGCTGGGACAAGGGTATGTAATTCCTATTTATATATATATATACCCTATATATTACATATAGCACATTCCCATATTCCCTATCAACAACCCTAAGCCATAAACCCCTAGGTGCCTCCTGGCCTGGGGCGCAGCAGACGTGATTCTCATCATCGTCTTGCTGATCAAGCGCCTTGCAATATTCGATTTGGGCTCATGGTGCGCAGTTGCAGACCGATTTCAAGAGGGTTTAAGGCTACTTTGAGGGCTCAATTTAAGTTTTGGGGTTAAGTTGGGGTGTTGTCTTCAAGGCTAGGGAAGGCGTTTCAAATCGCATTTCTAGGACCACTATCAGTTCTGAAGGTTGCCAAACTACCAACCTCTTCCATCATAAGCCTGCGTAACAGGGGTATGGTATACCCCCACGCTCCATACTCATTCTTCAGTTCCCTACAGTAGCCTAATCTGGCAGCCTTGTATCAGATTCAGAGGTTGGGATGTAGAACATGTGCACGGCTTGGGTCTTGGAGGTTTCGGGTGGTCTGTAGTATCACCAAAATCTCAGCGTTTGCAGCCAGAATCGGTCAAACTTTGCGTTTACGACGCCTTTCCTCAAAGCCCCCAAAGCCCAAATTCCGACTTCTGAAGAGCTTGTTGCCTAGATGTAAAGTGGCGCTCTTGGAAAACCCTGAACCCTGAACTCTAAATCTTACTTGGGTTCCCAAATCCAAGTATCATTGGTTTACCAGCGTCCCAGCAATTTGAAGCCCAGCCTCGGTTCACAAACTGTTTAGGGTTTAGGGTTTAATTAGAGGGTTATCAGGGGTTTCCGGTCTAGGGGTTGCTAGGGGTTATTTAGGTATATGCAGGGTTCTGTGGGATTCCATAGGGCTTTATAGGTGTGTAATTCATATATATCTATACACACACATACATATATTTTTATATATATACACGTGCATAGTGTTTTTTGAGCTATAGGGGGTTTAGGGTTGACGGCTGAGACCGGCCCAAGGTATCAGCTCAAGTACGGTCTCAAGAACGTGCTGATCTTCGTGGTGATTGCTGCTGTCCTGTGTGCAGGCCAGGACTCATCCAGGGGCCTAAACAAGTAGAACAAAGGCTTTGGTGCCTATTCATAGTTGTACAAGGGTTATACATGAGAAAGGAATAGCCCTAAACCCTACAGTAGGAGGGTCAGGTTCGAGGGATTGAGCTGAGCCATCCATCATAATGCTTGAGCAAGAACGCCCCCAACATGCCCTGTTGGTATGAGCTAGCGTCTAAACTCCGGGGTTATATAGGGGATGATCTAGGGCACTTATTCAGGGGATACTAGGAGGTGGGTCATTCCCCTCCTAGTAACTGTCCTTAAAGGGGGCTGTATTAAGGGGCTATTATAACTCCTATTATCCATTGTGGCAACTGTTGCTGTAAGGGGGACTGTCACAGCGATGCTGTTGATATTCTGCATGACCTTGGTCTACCAGAATACCGTACTTCTACAAGTTTAAGGTACTTAGGGTCTTCCAGGATTTTCAAGATCAACCGTAGGAGAGGGTAGCCGTTTTAGGGGGATTCGAGGGACCCTTGAGGGTACATACAGGGCAAGCAGTCGGTAAATGATGATCCTAGGTGTAAGGGCCATACTAAGGACAACCCTGGACATATTCGAAGCTCCTCCTTCGCCAGGTTTTCCGGGTGCAGAGATCGCCTGGACAGACCTCTTGTTGATTTCTTTGGCTTGCGCACTCATATACGACCCCTACATAAATCCAGTTTCCATCTAATTCTCTGCTAGAATTTCCATCGTTGGTAAGTCTTCTTTAGCTTCAGGGAGGTGGTGATTTGGGGCCTGGCAGTGCTGCAAAGAGGTGTCACATGGTTTAGGGTGTCAGGACTGGAAATTCAGAATTCTCGGGGTTCACGCGCTCAGTGGGCATCAGCTGTGCAAAGCAACTTTCTTTGGTGTTTTGGCGCAACAGAGGCTGGGACTAGGCAGCAAAACATGCTGGACATGTCAACATTTATGCGACAATAGGTCACGGGTGTCATCCGTTGCAATTAGTAGCTATATTATTGACTATAGGATATGGGCGCACATTATAATCACTATGAACCACTATGTACACCCAGTGGAAAATTTTCATTGGAATTTCCAGTGTTTGTAATTATTACTTATGCTGCTACAGAGTAAGATAGTCCTAACCCCTCAAGCCTATACCTAGCGGCCCTAGCTCCTCCTAGTTTCCCTGTGAGTTGTCATGTGATTTTCCATTCGCTACTTGGGGGTGACCGCACCCTAAGCTCTATATCGGTATATCCTTATATGTCCCATACGCCCCACCTGTCTCCAAGACTGTCTCTATGTGATTGTTGGGTCTGCTACACTATAGAAGCCTACACATGCCTATATCAGCTTATGTCCCCCCCCATATATCCCCCGTTTAAAGAGACCCTACTTTGGAAATCATTTAGGTCGCCACGCCCGACACCCCAATGTATTATCGGTCTATATACCCCTACACAACCCCATGCCGCCTATGAACTCCTGATATAAAGCCGCATATAATACGAAATAAACTCATATGACCCTATATAGCCGTATATACTGTAACCCTCTATAGTAAAACCCCATACAACCTTATATACCCCCTCCAACCCCTGCATAGACCTTATAGCCTTTAAGAGGGACCTTAGGGCTTCTTGCAGGCTGCTACTTTGGCTTGAAGCAGTACCGCCCCAAGGCAGGGCCCCGGGTCTTGGCAGCTGCTTTTCATGCCGTAGAGGCTTGGGTACGGAGGTTTGCAAGGTAGTCACAGTTCCAGGGTTTGGGGAGATAGGTTTGGAAGATAGGGAGGGTTGTAGGGTTGACAGTGTAAGGGTTTAGGGTTTTAGGTGGGCACCAGGTAGTTAACAGCAGGACTGTTTGGAAGATGTAGGGCCTGCTCCTCATCTAAAAGCCGTTGCATGGAAGCACTGAAGCCAATGCCCACAGACTGGCGACAGGAGAAGGTTCTTTCTGGGAGCCGCTTCAAGGGCTAGTCCCTACAAGACCCAACATAGGCCTCTCAATCCTGATCAGCATCCTAAGAGAGTCCTGTCACGCACAAATCAGCCTTGTGCTAACTCATAGACTGCTTGGACCCATGCGCAGTGAAGAGCCTGCGTGACAGTGAAGCTTGACCCATGCCACGTCCGAAATCCATCCAGCGCCCCGGTTTCTCGGTACCTTAAGAATTCTAGTAATCCTGATGCCTGGAGACTTGCAAATTTCAGCGCTGAGGGGCCTTGACAATTCCGGATAAAATGCCGCTGGGAGTTGTTCTGGGACCGGGATACGTTCATAGGGGCACCGTGGAGGTACTTGCTGAAGGCCCGGCCTACGTGGAGCGGATTATCCCGGAAGGCTACCGCCCGGAGGAACGGAGGGCTCAGCGGGCAAGTTCAGAAAGCTGTAGATCCCGTATTGTGTAGAAGGATCGCAGCAGGGTTATAGCTTCCCTTAAGTACATAGAATAAGGCTTTGGGTATATGATAATGTGGCCCCCATATACCCCATATTCTATCTACTTAAGGGGGACTATATATAGACAGGTTCCAGGCGTTTTTGTATACTAAGCATCGCGAAAGGACCTCTGGAAGAAGCTACGCCCCGGGCCAGTGCAGCTCGGTTTTGCCAATTGGTAACAAGGGATTCTGGCAATCTCAACCCCAAATCCCTGAACTCCTATGACGGGTGCTTAAGCGGCGTTAAGGACCGTTGTTGTCATGTCATGGTCACTGCTAGTCTTCTTTCTGGGGGAGGGAGGGGTTTGGCCTACCTAACGCTACTTGTCTTTTAGAACCATCGCCCAGGGTGGGACTTTGTACTGCAAACGGGGCATCCCTCTCATACTACCCACTTTATTTGGTAAGATATGTGCGGGAAAGGCTAAAATGATATTAGGAGCAATTTGCGGCTGGGTTCTACAGGGTGTGGTGCTGTGTGTGAATGCGTGTAGCCCGCGCCGCGGGCTTTTCTTCTGTCTACTTAAATGACTACACGTGCAGACAAGGTCATTTAGGCACAACACTTTCATGATGGGCTTGCTTACTTCTGGTCAGTTAGCAAAGAGTGAAGGACTGGATCCCCGTCGTAGTCCCTTTACAATACACAATATGGTAGTTCCCGTTGTCTTTTCCGTTGCTTCATTCCCTGCTAACCGCCCTAAGGCTTCAATATCCCTACAGGCCCTCAGTTTCCATTTCATTTTCCGATTGCTTTTCTATTTGATTGTTCACTACTGAGAGAATGGACTTGACGTCCAAGGAACACGGCGAAGACTGCCGTGTCGGCCATGCGTGGGGGAGTCGGGCCGTAGGCCCAGGCTGGAATGGGCTTTGGGGATTTGGGGCCCGGGAGATTGCGTCTAGGGAAACCCTAAGCCCTAACCCCTGAAGGGTTTGTGGCTCGGGAGGCTGGTTGGTGCAAGGTTTTCGGGCGAAGCTTCAGGGCTTCGGGGCAGGGTGTGAATGGATACGGTCAGGGCGAAGGGTTTCTTGGTCTAGGCTTGGGGCTTAGGGATTGCGAGCCCTAGAAATCATCTGTAGTGTGGGGCATAACCTGGGATCACATGGACATCATGTAGAAACATGCAGGCCTTGAGATTCTTGATTCTGAAGATTTCGATTTGAGGCCTTTCCTGCTCAAAGTTAAGGTACTGGTGCTCAAGGGGGAGTGGGGGCGTGATCATCGGGGTTATGAAGGGAGTAGTACAAGGATCCACTCCCCCACTCTCCCTTAAGGATGCTTTGGATTGAGGACTCTGCCTTTGGGCTTTCTTGCTGTACTGGACCACGCAGTTTTCGGTTTAGGGTTTAGGATGTGAGGCAATTGTTCAGCAGCCCATGATAAGAAAACATGATTCCTGTGAGCTGTCGTGCTTCAAAATAGTCATGCTAGAGCCCAATCGTGTCCCTGTGTAGCTAAGTAGTCTAGCCTTCCTACAGTCTTTTTAACTTCAATGCTAACAGAGACAAAATGCTAGCTGCTAGTTTTTTTCATTCTTCATGCATTCCCCTACTCCCCCTCAGTCAGGTTACTCGTATCTAGGAATAAGAGGTATTTTCCCAAGAGTTAGGTCAATCCCTCCTATAGTGATGGCCCTTTAATATGGAGTTAATAGGACCGTAATATGCCTACAATAGTCCCTTGCGGTACCCCATACTGGGTGGGGGATTGACCCAACCCAAGAGTTCAATTGCTACCAGCGTTCCACAGAACAGCCATGCACAGCTTGCGGATTGAACCTTCGAAATATTCCCTTGATTTTAAAAATGCAGCACCCGTGCCAGCATGTTAATGTAGACCCATCATTGACAAAGCACCTTTTTTAAAGGGCCTCAATATTAGGATCCTTATTAAAACTCCTTTCAAGGGGAGGGGGTTTATTAATCACAGGTCTACATTGTACAGGGGTATATAGGGGGATGGAAAGCACATGGAAACTACTCTATTGTTTCAGGTTTAAGGTTGGCTGATAGTGAGCACCCCTCTACAAGGTCTCTCATGGGGAATGCTTAATATTTGTGATGGTGTGTTTCATGGAATTGTAGTATGACCGTGTTAGCAGGAAACAAAATCCGACATATGAATCCTTCAGCATCACCTGGCTACCTCTGCTGAGGACGTGGTGCTTCAGGCTTAGGATGTGGCGTTTATGTATTGAAGCACTGAAGCCGAAATCCATCTATGAGCTGTTCAAGGTTCAGGATGTATCAGTTGGGGCTTTGGACTGCGGGTTGCGTGTTTTTAACTATGAGGTTACTGGTACAGTTGGCAGTCCAACGGGAAAAAGAAGATGGAACATGACATGGAGCGGGGATTTTACAGGGATGTATAGAGCTGAGGGTGGTAAGAGGATTTTGAGAATCCCCACCCCAAAGTGAGGATGCTATTGCAGTCAAATGCCAGTCTTGGGGTCCTAATTTGGGGCTTAGAGTTTCCAACGGCCTCTTGTTATTACCCTCCTAAACCCTTAAAAACCTTGGTTGAGAGTTTCGTCTCATCACTGCAAGCCTGAATCCTGAATCCTCTCCGGGAGGTTTCAACGATCCTGAGGGGCGGTTGGCTGTGCACGAGGAAAATGGCCAAGGTTGATATTCCTCAATGTAAGGTCCACTTTCTAAAGGCCCATAATATCCCATGCTGTGTTGGGAGCACCATAAATTGGAAGTTACTGGAAAACATTTTTTAGAATTTCTGTTACCTGTAAGCCTAATAACCAGCTGAAATTAAAATTTCTGCTAGGGAATTTGTGACCCTCCCCCTCCCCCTCCCCGCCCCTCTGAGGATAGGTTGCCGGATAGGGCCGACGTTAGGTTTGAAGCTCTTGGTTACAGGCTTCAGGGTTGAAGGTTTCCACAGTCTTTCGTACAGAGTCTGCCGGGTTATTGTGTGAGCTTATGCTGCAAGCCGATAAGGAATATGGAGTTATCTTTTTAAGTCATTAGACCCTAAACCATAGCCCTAAATGCCTAAACACTGATGCCCTAGACCCCGAACCCCTAAACCCTATAACCCTGAACCCTATAGCACTATAACCCGAAACCCTGTAGTCCAAAATCCTAAATCCTATAGCCCTAAATCCTATAGTGCCATAGCCCTCGATCCTAAACCCTTCAGCCCCTTATTTTAGGGCAAACCGAGGTCCCCCTCCTCAGCACCTTAGAGCCAGCTCCCAGACGGAGACGACTCTGGCTTCAGGTGAGGCTTCTTTAAAGCGGTTTAGGGTTTAGAGTTCAGGGGTTATGGCTGTGGTTTGGTTTTTAGGGTTCAGGGCTGCTAGATAAGGGCTGTGGATGTTGACTGGGTTGGTGTTTGGGATGTCTTTTGTTGATCATCAGTTCTGTAGCCTTACCCACACCACCTTTGACTGCTCATGACGACGGTTAGCGTTATGACTAGTATTATTCGTAGTATCATTTCTATTGTTACTAGTGCTATTACTGTTAGTACTATTATTACGGTTACTACCACTATTGACGTCAGGGAGCCACCCAGAAGCACGAAACGCGCCTCAACGTCCACGGCGCACCTTGCCTGAAGGAAGCTCCGAAAACCAGGAGTTTGTTAGTAAGAATCGTAATAGTATTAATCATGGTCATAATAGTAATGTTCAAAGAATATAGTACAACTTGTAAAAATGATAATAGTATTAGGGTCGGGTGACCAAGACTTTCCTTAGTTTCTGGGTGAGCAGTTTATGAGGAATTCAAGTGTGCGACCCCTGGTTCAGGCATACCAAAAATGGATCTGCTCGTGAGAAGAAGTCTTTCCAGGATTGGTAGGGTGGGCATGTGTTGCATTGTGCAAAGTGCTCGCAAGCAGATTATGGGAGATTTGTTCAAAACAGCTGGCTGTCGCTGGCCGTATACTTGTGCGATCTCTCGTGTGCTGCCTGCCTTCCTCTTCAGGTCTCGGCCGGTGATCATCGTAAAGGTGAAGATCTCTGCCATAGAGCAGGTTGTCCCGCTGGCTAGGCCTGTTACAACCCTTCAAACTATCGACTGGCATTTGCTCGCAGTTCCTCAACATTTAAATCCTGATTTTGTGGCCCAACTGCTGCAGTGGCCTGCCTTGGCGGGAGCCCATGTTTTTAAGCTGTAAAGTTACAAGGGTGATGTAACTCTGGGAACCTGAGCTTTGATATGCCAGTTTCTTCAGAAAGCTGGTGCCCAAATCTGCCATAGACACCAAGCGCCACGCCCAAACTCAAAGCCCTAAACCTGCAGTGCGATGGGCGTCTTGAAGCCCTCAACCCGAACCAAGGACGAAGTGCCGAACCCTCCCCCCAAGCAAACGTAGAGGCCCGTATGCATGGTGTTTTCCCGAAGTAGAAACTCAAAAATAGTGTAATCCTCATTATCGGGACCCCCAAAAGGAGATCCATGTTATTTAGCAATCGCCCACATCCCTTTCAAACGGACTGTAGTCCTCAGAGTGGGAAGTGAGAGCCTCGATGCGCAGTCTGAGCCTGAGGTAGCCAGGAACGTTGGAGGACTGGGAAGATTGTTGGGATTATGGGGTCTACCTACATTAGGGGTACCTTGAAAGGGGTTATGCATATGTGGGATATATAGGGTCTAGGGTTTACCAAACTTAGGAATACCTTGAAAGGGGTCTACAGGGGCTATAGGGATAATGGAGAAGCAACTGGGCAACACGGAAAATGAGATGGCGACACGGGTTATGTACGGGTTTTGGTGTGTTTAGCCACATTAGTGGCATTTTTTGGGTTCCATTAATAAGGATTATTGTATTTTGGGGTCTATATTGGGGTCCCCCTGTTACTGGAAACTACTTGTGTATATTTGATGTAGCTATGTATGTGTCGACACGTGTTACATCTTATAGATTTCACACATGATACTATGTGGGGATTCAGTTCTGTCACTTCTCCAGCATCAATGATGTTCTTCGGCAGTTATCGGTGGCCTTGAACGTTCTCCTGGTGCTGAGTCAGGAATGGGGATGGGTTACAGGGACCATTACAGCATTAGAGGTTGCATACAGGGACTGCTGTAGGGATCAAACCCTTCGTTCCCTATTAAGCACCAGGTGGTGTTTTACACTTTCAGTGTGACCTCTTGCTCGTATAATTATGGTAAGGGTACTTCAACCGGACCTCACCCATGGTATAGGGTTCCCCAAGTCGACCTCAAAATGACACTGGTCATGATCTAGGCCCTTGCCTTGTGCTTTCCGCACTTCATATTCAAAGAGGTTGGGAGGTGTTTGCCACAGGCCGCGAATCCCCCAGTGCCCAAGAACGTGATAGCCCAAACCCTGCAAGATGAGGAACCCCTAACTCTGAATCCAGTAACTTTTGCTTGCCATGGACCCCAATAAACCATAAGCCATGGACTCCTCCACGAGCAGCTTAAGCTAACCTATGGGGCGGTGGTTCCAGGGCAGAAGAGGTAGACGGGTGCTGTTTCCAACCGCAAAAGTGACCCCCAACTCTGGAGGAACCCAAAACACGAAATCAGTGTATGGCCGGAAAGCGCCGCTAGGAAACCCATAGCTTTGAATTAGCCCAAGTTGTAAGGCCCTAAACCGCGTCCCCAGTGCGGACACATCCTCTCACATCGAGGAAGTCAACCATCAGTTCAATGTAGTCTAGGTTCCTGGGTAAGGTCTAGGGTGACCTCACGCGAAAACCCGGCGAAGAAGCCCTAAACCCCTAAACCCTTAAATCCGAAACTTGCCCCCCTAAGTCCTCAACCCTTAACTCCTAAACCCTTAAATCGCAAACCGACTCACGATCGAAGGACGCAAGGCTGTTCGGACACAGTTCAAGCGATCGGCCTCCGGCATCCCAAGTGGCTCAGCTTCTTTAAGGGTTTAGAGGTTTAGGCGTTTAGGAGTTTAGGGTTTAGGGGTTCAGGGTTCGCCTGGCATCAAGAAGACCAGATGCAAAAAGGGTTCAGGGTTTAAGGGTTCATGGTTTAGACAAGTTGCGTGGAACAGAAGGTGCAAAGTACCAGATGAAGATGAGGTTCTGAACAGGGGAGGAAAATTGCATTTTGGGAAAATTAGCTGGTGGAATGAGGGGTTATGCTCACTGGTGCTTAGGGTCCAGTTTACTGGGACCCCAATTCCTCATCCCTAAACCCCTAATCCCTGAAACCTAAACCTGCCTCCCTGAGGCCTTGGCCTGGCGGGCCGCCAGTATCAGAAGAGTTTCAGCTTCATGGACCAGGCTTCGGTTTGGGTTGTATGAGCTAAAATTGAAATTCCTAAAGGGGGCTTATGTGGGGGATTATATAGGGGAGTATTATAGGGGCTATTAAGGGGGATGCTAGGAGTTTAGACTATGGCTCATATTGGGTTATATGGGGATAACGGAAAAGAAAATGGAAGCTAGTAGAATGGGTTATATAGGGCTTAGGTTTAAGGGTTTAGGTTTTAGGATTCAAGGCGTAGGGTTTAGGGAACATCTTTGGCTTGGGTTGGCGTTTAGAGTTTAGTTAGGGGCTCACTTTAGGTCTCAGGATCCAAGGGGGTTTAAGGGTTTTAGGGGTTGAAGTGTGTAGGGAAGTGTGTAGGGATGGAGGGTTTAGGGGCTTTACATGTGTAGCGTTCAGGACTCAGGCGCTTCAGTTGAGGGGTTTAAAGAGGCTAGGGAGTTCCGCGTTCATTCTGTAAGAGTTTAGGGTCCCCCACTTCCACTTCAGCACCGAGTCCCACTGAATGTCAAATCCGCTGCCAGGGTCCTGATGGGGCAGGGAAGCGATGGTGGAACAGGCAGCTGGTGTACTGTTTGGGGGTTTAACGGGTTTCTGGTTAGCAGGTTTAAGGGTGTTGGGTTTTGGTTGGATACTGCCCCCACTCCGTAACCGTTGGAGAACGATTGCAACTTAAGTACATAATTCCCTTGGAATTTCCCCTACTGAGCGAACTGGGTCGGGGCAGCAACCCAGGTTTAGGGACTGAGGAATTTCGGTTTGCTTTTAAGTTCAGGGCCCTAAACCCTCAACCCTTGTTACCTTGGCTTCCGAACGTTGCGTGCGGAATGCCCCAGGCCCAATTCACACACCAAGCCCTGCATGAGGTAGAGTCTAAGCTCCTTACAGGGGTTAATTTTCTAGGGAGTATTACAGGGGTTATTAAGGGGGATGCTGGGAGTTTCGACCCTAAACCCGAGTCCCTAAGCCCTAATCCCTGCCTAAGACTGAAAACTTATAGGGCTTATTAAGGGAGATAGCAGGAGTTCAGACTATGGCCCTATGTGCGATGGGATGGGCCAAGCCTTGAGCTGCGAATACGCTGATGCTTTGGGGGTTCATTGAAGGGTTTTTTAGGGGTTATATACAGCTCATAGGGGTATATAGGGGTTCCTTTGAAGGCGTTCTAGAGGCGTTGTATATATATATATATATAGAGGGCTTCTATGAGGGTTATATGGGGATAATGGAACAGAAAATGGAAACTACTACAATGGGCTATATATTGGTAGCGTTAGATAGGGGTATATAGGGTTTAGGGTTTCCCAGATTCCGAACAATCCGGGCCGTGTTTTGTTAGGAAGCTCGGGAGGGATTCTGCAGGATACCTAGCAGAGCTTTTCGCGGGATTCGTAAGGGCCCGTGACTGGCTGACATGTTGCTGATGGAGCTGTGCCCCACAGGAAGGAGAACTACTTTACTATAGTATATTGGGGTTATATTGGGGTTATATTAGGGTTATATTGGAGTTATATTGGGGTTATATTGAGATTATATAGGGATTATGTAGGGATTATATTGAGGTTATATTGGAATTATATAGGGATAATGGAAAGGAAAATGGAGTGCACAATCAAGTTGCATCTTGACGAAGCCTTAGGGAGGCCCCATGCAAGCAGGACCCAATGCTACAGTTTGGCGTAACTGACGTTGGGGCATAGCATGACCTCACCAGTGCATGGCGGATGCCACTGCCCTAGGCGACGCCTGTGCCCCCACCGCTCGCACCAACTTGCCTTGCAAAGCTCTACGCAATCCGAAACCCCCTCGTCCGTAATGCAGCCGTGTCTTGCGGTGGGGGGAAGAAGGCGCAATGCATTATCCTAAACCCTAAGCCCTAACCTAGCCATGAATCCTAAAACCTACTACCTAAGCCCTAAGCTGACATGATTATCTTTGTCCAGGTGTCATGCCCAGAGCCACAGAAGGGTATCAAAAAAAGGTCTTTCTTCTGTTAGCCCCGAAGGCAAACCTACCTTCCCCGCGAGTATTAAACCCCATCACCAGCCTAAAATTGAACTTTCCCAACATGGTATACCATAGCATACCGAGAATTTTCAACATTAGGGGCTGGGGGCTTTTTGATATCAGGGAGGGGATTGGCCGAGATGAGACACGTAACTGTTTGGCATGAGACGGCCTTGTGCTGTTTTGGAAGCTACCCATCTCAGGGTGTATGACGTGGCGATACAGCTCAAGCAGTCGATGACCCAGCAGCTGGGCAAGTTTCAGACGGTGCAGGTGTAGAGTTGAGAATTTTGGTTGGCAGTCACTTCTGTACGTCCGCGAGGGGTTTGAGACGCACCAAATTGCATCCTGAGTGGGGCCATGTCTTTTCTTGATCAGCGCGTTTGTGATGGGTTCCCTAAGAGCCCCCTCTACCAACTTCTCCCAATCAGGGGGAGCCGTAGAGGGGAAATCATAGCAGTCCCAAGATATGCGTTTTAGCGTTTAGGGCTGCAGGAAAAGGAGCCGCCCTCGTTCTTGCTGTCGTGTGTGCTCGGAGAGCACATGGGGCACTCATGCGACTTGTTGTCGGCCGTTTTGTGATTTGTGGGTTTGCATAGAAGGAAGTACGCAACCATAAATATTACATATTCCCATGAACCACCCAGTTTCCATTTTAACTTACATGTCTTTTCCAATAGCTTTTCCATTCCGAAACCCTTAAACCTTAAAGCCTTGAATCGTAGTTTCCATTTCTTTTCCGTTTCAAGTTCCGAATCCCCAAGAGCATTACAGTAAGTAGTAGTCTTCATTTGCTTTCTATTTCTGCCCTACCGTAGTATCACTATACACACCTCGTTTCCGTTTCACGTTCGATTTGCTTTTCTATGTGTTTCTCCGTTCCCTAAATACTCGACATTCCTCTAGATCCTTATATATCGCCAAATCTCGCTACCCTAAACTCTTAAGCCCAAGTTATCTTTCCTCTCCCTCCTAACACCCAGCAAGCAAAGCTCTCTAAACCCTAAGCCCTAAACCCGTAGACCCCGAGGTAGTAGTTTCCATTTTCTTTCCATTATCCCCTATATAACCCCTCCTATGCAAGCCCTATCAAGGCGATCCCCTTAAGAATCCAAGGCCGCCCCTAAACCCTAAACCCAAACTGAACCCCTACACCTAGATCCCCTTTGAGAATCCAAGGCCGCCAGACCCCTAGATCCCTAAACCTCTAAGTAGTAGTTTCCATTTTCTTTTCCATATCCCTTATATAGCCCCCTATATAAGCCCTATCAAGGTGATCCCCTTTAAGTATCCAAGGCCGCCGGAGGACAGGCGGAGGCCGATCCTCACCGTGGAGCTGCGAGCGCACCTCGCAGAGCACCTGTTGGGGACAGTCAGGGTTCAGGGTTTAGGGTATTTAGGGTTTAGGGTTTAGGGTATAGGGTTTAGGGTTTGGGGTTTGGGGGCCCTAAACCCTAAACCCTGAACCCCTAAACCCCTAAACCCTCAACCCTGGGGTGTAGGGTT